AAGACGTGTGCTCTAGAACCTTGGACTGAAGATATGTGGCCTAGATCTCTTCCCCCCACCCCGGTTAAAAAGTGACTAACAATGACATTGTGTTGTTCAATAATAATTGTATTTCAACATTAGGTTTGTTCAGTTTCTGGTCCCAGCCAGAGTCTCATGGGAAGGCCAGGATCTGTGAGTTTATTGAGAAGTCGATACAGAACTCAAAGGATGGCAGGTTCCTGTACTTCCTGCGACCAAGCGCCAGGGGGACACCTCCTCTTCCAATCAGACTCCTGTCCCCCGTGTCCAGAAACTTCAGGGTAGCTACTCTCAAACATTTATCCAGGTCAGGAATTGGTGAATCATTTAAAGCTTTTGTAGTCTCTTTTCTTTGAGGCTTATCAGTCATTTATTTTATGCTATTAGTTATTTAATGTTTGTAAGTACAGGTCATTTAGTGCTTATCATTTATTTGATACTTCTTGGTCTTTTAATACTTTACAGCAGCGGTTCTCAACCTTTTAAGCTAGGTGACCACCTTTTTACAATCCCCACTCTTCGGCGACCCCCATCCACACAGCAATAGAAGAATAGACAAAAACGATCTATATTTTTGATGGTCTTAGGTGACCCCTGGCCATCGTCAGTCGACCCCTAAGGGGATCGCGACCCACAGGTTGAGAACCCTGCTTTACAGCCATTTGGCATTTACTTTTGTTTTTAACAGGGGAACATCATTGGATACATTTTAAGTGCCTAAATACTCCTTCAGTTTAAAAATCCTCGCTTCCTTAAAGATGATCCCAGTCTTGACTTCATCTCAGATGATATAAAAGTCATTTGATCTCATTTCAAATCATCTGTTTTATAAAGTTTCTCTTCAATTCTGTTCGCTAAGGAAAAAAATATACTTTGAGATTGTAAAAAAAAAAAACAACTAAAATTGTCAGACTTTATGATCTGTGGGGTCTACAGTCCGGTACCCATTAGAATTGCGTGGACTTAATCCCTAGCCCTAACTACTCAGCCACCACTTTCTCCCCCCCCCCCCCCCCCCCCCCAACCAAATCTGAGAATGTAATAACTTATTAGGATTATATTGTGTCCATTTCAGATTTGTTGTTTGCCAGACAGTCAGGAATGACCACCTGGACAGACTTCCAGTCCCTGAAAAGGTCAAACGTTACTTGCGGAACAAGCAGTATTACGTTGAAATCTTGGACGAGGACCAGTGGGCCTTTGATGGAGACTACGTGAAATCTTGACCTTTTTGTTTCTCAACAACTGCTGATGGTTATACGCTTCCATAGTTCATATTTATCTCCCCTTTTCCTGGTGAACAAAATACCACAATTTCCAAATACCAAAGAACATATCATTTGAATTTTTTTTTTTAGTTTGACCACCTTTAAGGTTATTTTCTTTAGTAACTGGATTACCTTTCTCTATGTAGTTGTTAGTAGCTAGTCCAATGTGGGCTGTGTTTGTATGTTTCTGGCATTCCCTAGAGTTCCCTGATTCAGACCATTAGATCAGGTGTAATCTCAGATGACCTGAGGTTACCCACTAGTTGATCAGTGGCTATACCAGCCTTTTTTATCTTTTTATTATTTTTATTTTTTTTCCAATGGAGGGGGTAGCTGATCATTGAACAACTGTACTTTCTTTTCTGGGTTGTTTTTTGAATAGCATTCTTGATGTAGTCTTTGTTCCTGCATTCTCAAAAAAAAAAATAATTTTATGTACATTGTAGAAATATTTTGTGTGTACTGGCAAGGAGTTTCTCTCTCCTTTTTTTTTCTTTCTGTGGTGTCCTTGGATGTCCTGCTTGGCAATTGTAGGACATTTCTTAGGGCTTTTCTGATTTCTTTCTGTGGTGTCCTGAAGTCCTGCTAGGAGATTGTAGGACATTTCTTAGGATCTTTCTGATTTCTTTCTGTGGTGTCCTTGGACCTCATGCTTGGCAATTGTAGGACATTTCTTAGGACTTTTCTGATTTCTTAAATCCTTCTGATTTCTTTCTGTGGTGTCCTGAAGTCCTGCTAGGAGATTGTAGGACATTTCTTAGGATCTTTCTGATTTCTTTCTGTGGTGTCCTTGGACCTCATGCTTGGGGATTGTAGGACATTTCTTAGGACTTTTCTGATTTCTTAAATCCTTCTGATTTCTTTCTGTAGTGTCCTGCTAGGAGATTGTAGGACATTTCTGATTTATTGCTGTGGTGTCCTTGGAAATCCTGCTAGGTGATAGTAGGACAACTCTGATAGATTTTCTTGCTTTGCTTTATTTATTTATTTTTTTATTTTTTTTTGTATGTATGTCCACATGTTGCCACATTGTGTGCTCCTTGAACTGATAGCCTGTAAAAAAAATTTTTTAAAAATAAATATTAATATACATACATATATATAATATATACATATATATATAAATATCTATACAATGATTATAATACTTTTTTTAACTGCTAGAGTTTGTCAATTTTCCAAGACTTACACAGATTTCAAAGTTTTATTTTTACAAGTTTTATGTGCTGTTTTTTTTTTTTTTTTTTTTACTGTAAATAACATTTAAAACCCTTTTTTTTAAAAATAATTATTTATTGCATTTTATTTTCCATCACATGGAGAAGCAGAGGTTCCATTTTTTAAAAATTTTGTTAGAAAATGTATGTTTAATTATGCAAAACTTAATTGTCCAGCCCATGAGCCACCTCGGGCACACCGGCTCATCGGCTGTCCATACATATCATTGTACAGAAGTTTTGTGTATTTAACTTATGCCACTGTGTGATGTTTTAAGTTCACTTTTGTTATTTCAATTGTCATGCAGTCACTTGTGTGTATGTTTAGTAAAAATGTCTAAATATATTCATTTATTTCAAGTTGTGAAGTGCATAGCAATCCTATTATTTTTTTATATTTTCAATGTCTACGTGCTACTTACACTCTGCTCATGGGTGGAAGGTGAATGGAAAAGTTGGTGAAAATTTGATAAGAGTGTCAGTGTAATAACCCCAATGTTGTGGGTTCCAATGAGATCCAATAAGATCTGATCCAATCTGATTTTAATTGATTTTATTTGAACATAAAGCAGGAATTGATTTTCTTATTATTCTGATTTGTATAATTGTATCTTGTTTTATTTTTGTTTGATGTGTCTTTGGTTTATGTATTTATTTATCTAATAACATTTTGGTGTTATTACAGTTTAATATATGGGTAATACTTTTTTTTGGGATGATTGCATATTACTATTGCTAAGCATAAGTTTGTGACGAGTGTTGAATTGAAATATTGTTTTTTTTTAATCATATTACATCAATTAGCATAACGTTAACTTCAGATTGTATTTTTGTTACATGATAGTATTATTGTTACATTCATGCTGGAGACCCATAATACCCTGGACAGAGATCATGATGGTTGATTCACATTAGGCTTGTCGCTGTGTGTACAGAGTTTGCTAGTGTCTATTTTAGAAGCAACCAACAGGAGCACAGTGTTTTTTAAACTAAAATCTCAAGATTTCCACTTGTTTACATTGACATAATAGAAAACCTTGTCTGGCCCTTGCTTTGAACTGGGCAATGCTCTCTTCCAAACACCAGTGAACTACTGTTTAGAGTTTTTTGTTGAAAGTTAAATTCATAAATTTGTTTCCTGTTTTAAATTTGGTTTGACTTGCCATGACTACTCTAGGATATTATTTCTCGCATGATGGCTTACAGAAGTATACTGAGCTATAAGAAATTTCTTACTACTGCGCAATATTGTGCAGTTATTTTAATGAGGCTATTTCTTGATAAAAGTTTCTTACAAAATCAGTTATTGTACCTGGTTCTGTGCATACAAAATATATACTTCATAAAATAATCATGGACGTGAAATGTTATAAAATTAAACTCTCTGTTGTAGTTCATTATCAGACATTTTAAAAAAAAACAACATCCTACTGACTGACTTTACCATAATATTGCTAAGAGACTATCCTGGACGTCCATTATGACTAGGGAAATGTTATACAAGTTGAGACTCTCCATTGTAGGTCATTAGAAGACATTTTAAAGAAACCACATTTTGTCTTTTTAAACATTTGTTTGCAAAGTTACAGCTTGAAATGAGTGTTGCTAACTTTGGTGTTTTTTTTTGTGGGGGTCAGCAGTTACATATTAATCATAAATAAAATAATCATACAAGGATTACAACTTTAAATAAAAATAGTATGATCATACTTCATGCTAGTGAAATAATAATAATATAAGAGACTTGATCAAACAAGAGTCACAATGCAATTTATAGATAGTAGATGTGGGGTAGTTAGTTATATTCTTCTAATAAAAAAGACTGTAGAACTGCTAACCTGAAGTGGAAACATGATAACTAATTATTAGAGGTAGAAGTTGATTTGATATTTTCACTAATTTGTCATTTTTATGTCAGTACAAATAAGTTTACTGAAGTGAATCAAATATTTTTCTGCTTGTATTAGAGAATTGAACTTACTGCTTGTTACAAGACTTGGTATGTTGAACAATTTACAACAAACCCATTGCAAAACATTTCAATTGTTCACTCCCAAAGAGCAGACCAGTTTGTGTGGAAACCAATGAAGGTTTCGGTTTTCTGCTTTGGTTCATGTGTTTTTTTTTCATGCAGTATTCATTGTTTGGTTCAGTCTCAGCTTTATCAACAGGAGCTGTCTGTTGAAATGGTTCACTTGTGTCATTGCAATGTCCTAGAGGACAGGCTCTCACACACACACACGGAAACCCATAATGAAATATATATATATATATCTACTCAGCAGGGCCGGGCTTAGGCCACTGCAACCTATGCGGTCGCAGTGGGCCACGCGCTAATTCTAGGTGTAATTTATTAAATTAAAATGTTACAAATTATATAAAATAGCAGGTTTTCACCTGCTTCTTGATTTTCCAGGAGCTCCTGGAAATCTCCTGTAATTGTAAAATATACCAAAAAGTAATGGAAATATCCTGAAATTACAAATCTAACTAATAAAAAAACTCCTCAAAAATAGACAAAAGTTTCATTTTATGGTGCCAATACGCGCGATAAAAAAACAACACTGTCAGCTTTCATTTAGTAAAAATTTATTGTAAAGATGAATGTATTTTTAATACAAAATCTGTATTTTGACATTATGCTTTTCCCCACCTAGACTGAGCCCTGCACAATCCTTTTCACATAGGGCCCCCCTATTGCTAGGACCGGCCCATCTACTCAGGAAAGACATGAGACATAGGTCTATTTAATGAAACTAGTGACACTAGTAGTGTGATTTGGGAAACGTCGAGTGAGACACTGACCTACATTAGGATACCTGTGGTGAAATAGATTTACTCTAGCAGATCGAGATGTAGGCCATATGCATCAGATTGGAACCACAGAAATGTTTCACAAGGTTTTTCAGTATTTCCAAAGTCTAATGCTTGGATTCCAAACATACGACAAAGTTATCCCACTTCGATATAGTCTATCATTGAACTGTATTCTTTTGTGGTATTCATTTTTTTTTACTTTACTTTTCTTTAAAATTCATAATATTATGGTAGATAAAGCATCAAACTCGTTAATATGTGGGGTAGTTCTATGTGCCCTTTTTTTTAAAGGTTGACTAGATAGTATGTTAACTCTTGAACTTAGCCATGGCCTGTGATTATGTTGCCTACCGAACTGGTTAAAGGACAGTCAGGGATGTTGTCTGTTGTAGTGCTAACTGGCCAGTCGTGATATTTTCTATAGATTGCTAAGTAGCCAGACAGGAAGTTGTTTCTTGAAGTTAGCAATAGACTGTGGGTGTGTTGCGCTGAGCAATGGCCAGTCAGGCGTAGTCTATTGAACTGATAAAAACCAGTCAGTATATTGTTTGTATAGAACTTAGCAATGGCCTGTGTGTGCTGTCTATTGAATTGATAAAAGCCAGTCACTATATTGTTTCGATAGAACTTAGCATTGGCCTGTGTTGACTATTGAACTTGTAACCTGTTTTTTTTTATATAGTGCTGTATAGATATAGCTCATTTTTTTTTTTTTTATTTCAATGCATTTTTAATGCCACCAATGGAGATATTAATGTCCAGGTGTTCACTAGAATTTAATCAAAACTTTTTGTTTTTATAGAAATATGACATTTATTGTAATTTTAAAAACAAAATTATTTGTACATTTTTAGAATGAGATGTGCAAACTAATGTTCAGAAACCACACATTTTTTTTGTTTTGGTTTGTAAGCTAGTATTTGTTTCTTTTGACTAAATATTTTTTTTTATATGAACCAACAATGTGGCCCACCCAATCAATGGGCTTCACTTTGCGACTGAATTCTGAGCCTGGACATTGAAGCACTTTGAACATACACGTATTGTTTTTATATCTTTACTGCAGGCATAACCCAGTTTATAAGTTATATATACCATTGACTCAAGCCTGTTGCTTGATACTAGAGTGTTATTTTTACTTTCAGCTTATTACTTTGTGGTATGAATTATTTTATTGTAAGCATGATTTTTTTTTTGTTATGAAATGTTTTGTAAGTATGTACATTTGTTTAAAATTCAATTTTTTTTAGTAAAAGCAATTTTTTTAAAACACATTTTTACACACTTTTTTAAACAGATTTTGTTAATATATCTGTATTTTAAATGTGTGTATGTAGAATTTGTAACATTTACTGTATGGGATGTGTGACCATGTGACATTAACATAGGAAACATACTGATAACTGGGATTTGAGACATGACTCTTTAGAGTTCTGCAGACTTGCCAATTAGCCAGACAGGAAGCTGTTTCTTGAATGGAAGGATGCAATATGCTATGTATCTCACAATGAAAGACTTTAACTCTTTTCCTCCTAATTAACAATACCATAGTTGATTTGACCCTATTAAGTTAAATTAGCTTTTGGTTTTATAATTGTGTATTTGTGTTGCATAAAAAGAGCATGCATTCTCCTATAATTCTATACCAAAAGAAACGCCTTCTGATAAGAAACAAAAATGTTATTGAAATTTAACCCTAACAGGGTAGAATGTACACGTGAAAAAAAAAAAATCTGTTAGAACGTGGAAAATCATAAGAAATGTGTGCTGTTGGCTAAGATCAAACTTCAATGAAAGAGGCAGCAAATCTTCAAAAACAGAAGCAGTGACAGCCCATGGAAACCTTTTCTAGATTAGTTCCCCCTACCTCCACATGTCCATAAAAGTGAATGGAGCAGAGAACATGAAGCATGGAAGGAGAGCTGTACAAAAACTATAATGAGAACTGAATATGTAATTTGATGTTTTGTTTTAAAAGTAGTTGCTTGTAGAGTGAATCTTTTCCATCGTGTGGAAGTGATGGTCTAGTAGTACAGAGTTGATCCAATTAATAACTCTTATTACATCAAGTTACAGTGATAGACTGGTTGGTGCAGTACATGTGACTGATATGGAACTGTTGGTCAAATTAGTTTTTGAGATTTGGTTAGAATTGTACAGTGAACTTGTGTGTGTATATAGTGAACAAATACTATTGAAATCCACTTCTTCAAACATGGTTCGATGCTATATTCAAAAACATTTCTTGTGAATTGCTTATAGTATATCAAAAGCTTTATACTGAATAAACATTTGTTTTTCTAAATCTTGTTATGTATTTTTTGTAGAACTAGTTTGACTAGTCTCAAGAGTAATCTATAAACAAAAGACAATACATAATAAAAAAACTAAAAAAAAAAACAACAACAAAGCTTGTATTAAGCATACTTGTAACAATTAGTTTGGATAAGTGTGTAATTAAATTTGTGATAGATCTAGATTTACATTAACATAAAGCATTTATACAAATTTTTAAAAAAATTAAAACGACCTGAATTCAAACGCATGGTTCAAGCCAACATGATAGCCACTCTGCTAGTGAAGTTATGAACTTATATAGTTATCTATTGTTTCTATAGTCTCAACCTATTTTTCAGGTTTGTGTTTATGACCATCTATAAAAGAAACTAATTCAACTTGTCCTATCACTTCAGCTAGTACAAAATCATTCCCTTGTTTGAGATACTAAACAAAACAGCTTGATCGAAGATTGGGCGTGGTAGAAATAACGTGTACAGACTTTTTACCAGACAGACAGACAGAAATGATATAAGCTATGTAACAACAACCAATGTGTGTCCATCATTTCTCTTTATTAATCCAATCAACAATATCATGAACACATTGCCCCAGACAGTCAAATCAGTGTTGATAACAAAAAAATTACATTTTGATACAAAATGTATTGGGAGTATTAGGCATTAGACAAGACAAAACTATGGAACTTAATCTATATTATAGTTTTTGTTGTAATAACAACACAAAAATATATACATGTAGTTCTGTAGGTGTTCTTTACAAAAAAAAAGTCTATGCTTAAAAAACTATGGAACCTAAAACTATATTATGGTTTGTATGAATTAATAACAACACTAAAATATATATATACTAGTCCTATAAGTGTTCTTTCTAAAAAGTCAATGCTTAAACATAAGACAGGTCTAAGCATGTTTTGTCATTAGTTTTTTTAGAGTTTTCCATCATGACTAGAAAATGGATGTGCTTGTCGAGGTCTTTGACAGGAACTATTGCTGGAACATTTTAGCACACACACAACTACAGGATTAAAAATTTTTAATTTTTAACTCCACAACCTGTTATTGTGCTATTCCTTTGTTTAGGGTCACCTTCTATTTAAAGGTTTGTTTCCTAGTCTACAGACAGACTATTGCTTGTTTCCTGTAGTCACATTAAAGTTTTGTTGGTTATGCAAAGGCTTGGGCAGCAGCAAAAAAAAAAGAAAAAATTCCTTCAGAAGTAAAAAAAAACCCATTACATTCTAGCTCAGACCTTTTGCAGGATGACGGGGATGGAATGCAAGCAGGGTTTGAACTCGGGACATTAGACAATAATTCAGGGCACATACCACATTACCAAGTAGTCATCCATATTAAGATGAACAATTATTTACACAAAGAAGTTTTTAAAAAATGTGTTTTTCTCTGTCCACATTTAGAGTCTAGTTATTTAAAAAAAACAACATTTCCATGCAAGTCAATAATACAACATTTTGTAGTTGACATGAAGTCAAATAGCTGATTTCATACAACTCTTCAGTGATATGTTTCATCTCCAGACTTTGACGGAATATCATTCACAAACGTGATGTACCGGTAATCAAAAAATACCATCAACATTCTGATAACATTTCACCCGTCAGGAATCACTTGAGGAATTACCAACAGGAAATTATGTATTATACAAAATGTATATCACAGTCGTTAGACAATATGACAATAAAAAAAACCCATTGATTAGTCAAATAAATGTAGCGTGGAAAAGGGGTGAGCAACAAAGAAAAAAGAAGGAAAAAAAAGGGACTTGCCAGAATTTAAATAAATAAAAATAAAATGTCATTGTTGTCTCAAATATACAAATAGTTATACAGTTTGTATTACTGCATTTTTTAATTTAAAAAATATCAATCTTATAAAAATGTTTTTACAAGTCAAAATAAAAAAAAAAAGTTCCTTTTACTGATACTGAACAGTTAGTTGTCAGGGCTGGGAGCTTACAGGGTGGCACCAATACTACACAGTAATCAGGGCTAGCTCACATTTTAGCACTGATGTTGCAGAGTTAGTCAGAACAAGCTCAGAGATGATGGCTCCATATAAGTTCTAGCACAACTTTATTTTTAACATATTACACAGTGACGAGGGAAGACAACATTTTGAATAATAAAAAAAAAAGTTTTCTGAATGTTTTATATGAACTGAATAACAGAAATTAGAGGAGCAAAGTTGTCTAGAGTTGGCGATCCAAGTTTGCTTTCATTTGTAACTGATCCCTACCATATTAATAGCAAAAAGGTATACAATGTGTAACAGTTACTAACTAGGTGTCAGAAGTGAGATAAGAATACATGATTTATGTGACAACTTCCATCTGACAGTTTTAAGCTTAAATACGCTGGTCGTATTAACTATTCTTACCAAAACCTCTATAATGCATAGTAAGCAAGTCTAGTTAATTTTGATGTTGAACCACCGGATAGCCAGTCCAGGAAGCAGCGCTACAACGGCTATTCCCATCATCTTAAACAAGGTCCACAAAGTAAAAATTTCATTCATGGAATGGATCTCAGACAAGACACTTCCAGTCTGGACACACACAAAGTTGTAAGGCATTAAACCTGGCAAGGACAAGAACATGATCAGGAGCTGATTAGTTCAATTATTTACATCATATTCTGTAAAACTATTATATTATTCTTTTAAAGTCAATTACTATTTCTCCTCCAATAAGCTCAATATCATGAAAGATACAAACTTGTATAACAAACGTATACAAACAGGCTTGTTGAGGTGGGAGGGGTGGTTGATGATAACGCAAGAAGATCAATTTATATTATGAATATTTTCAACTACCTTATTTAGCCACTAATACCAAAGTAAGTCAAAGTGGTGAAAGTTTTGGTCAATAAATAATTGTCAAGATAGCATTCACATAAAAAACAAAGAGAAATATATAATGGAACATCAATAAGAAAACTTATAAATTATTTACCATTATTCTGTTTTTCTTTCATTTCTAGGTTATTGTAAATTTAAAAAAATACGGCTGCCATTTCCACATCACTTCTAATTGTTAGGAAGCCAAGATCTTTACCTCTCAGCCACTGCACATAAAATATGTTAGTGATAATAGCTGATCACTAAACAGTCTATTTATATATACATAATGCCACAATGTCGACTCCCACAAGACATGGGATATGAATGTATGCAAACGGGACATGCTCTTCAAAACCAACACTAACAACTGGGAGAAAGTGGCACTGGATAGACCCACATGGAGAGCAAGCCTAAAGGAAGGGTCCTGGATTACAGATGGCGTACACAACAGAGGTAGAAAGAAGGGTGAAAAAGGGACAGCACCTAGTGATTACAGATTCCCAACCTGTGACCACAGCTGTGTATCAATGAGTCACACCAGAAGGGAAATGATCATCCGTTATGAAGGATACAAATATATATATACATTTCTATGTGTGTGATAAGAAGTGAAACTCATGAGGCAAGTCAAAGAGACAAACTGATACATTGCATTCACAAGAAAGTGGAAAGATGGCCCAGTCTTACATTTGCAACAAAGTGGAAAGATGGCCCAGTCTTACATTTGCAACAAAGTGGAAAGATGGCCTAGTCTTACATTTGCAACAAAGTGGAAAGATGGCACAGTCTTACATTTGCAACAAAGTGGAAAGATGGCCTAGTCTTACATTTGCAACAAAGTGGAAAGATGGCACAGTCTTACATTTGCAACAAAGTGGAAAGATGGCACAGTCTTGGGTAATTTAGTTTGCTAAATTACACTAAGTCTGTCTGTGATAGTCTATAATTGAAATCGCTCACTGCAAATATATAGATTTATGCTGCTTTTTACCAAAGAACTTTACAATAAGTTTCCTTGCTTTTTTAAAATAGCAACAATAAACGTGGATTTATTTTTATATCATCTTATCACACTGAGAATAAGTTTCACTTACCTATAAAAACAGAAGTGAAAAACAGATGTATTGGAATACCAACAATGGGAGAGCTAATGTTGATGAACCAGTTGGGACTCATGGGAAACAGTCGGATGAACAGGAGGAAGAAAAACAAACTGTCTCGGTTTCTCTGGACCTGCAAAGCAGACAAACAGAATAGCATAGGCCTATGTATCAAATAACTAAGTCAGTGCGGTAAACCTGTATACAATAAGTACAACATATTAAAACATCAAACATTCAACAAATTAATAAAAGAAAAGAGAACACTAAAATGGACATGTTCGACTTCTTAGAAAATTATTCATTAGTTTAAATAACTTAAACCTAGGCTTGGTGTCTGAGTGGTAACGTACTTGGCTTCTGAGCCGAGGGGCCCTCGGTTAGAATCCAAGTGACAAGTGGGATTTTTAATTTCGGGATATTTATGGCTGCCTGAGCCCACCCAGTTTTAATGGGCATATGGCAATGTTTGTGGAAAAGTAGAGGGGATTGGGTTGTTGTGATGGCCACATGACACCCTCATTAACCATGGGCCACATGACACCCTCATTAACCATGGGCCACAGAAAAAGATGAATGAATTTTACATCAACTGCCTCATAGATCCAAACATCTAAGAGGGGAAGTTTATTATTATCTTTTTTTTTAATGACATCAGTACACGAGCCTAAAACAGGGTTCCCCCACCATTCTGAGATTAGGATTTCAGGAGAAAATATTCGATTTCAGGAGCGGAAAAACGTGAACTATATCTATATTTAGTAATAAAATAAATAAAATATAAGAATTACCATATAAATTACCGTATAAATTTTTTTTTCCATTTCAAATTAGCAAATTTAAAAGTAACTGATTAAAGAGTAAAAAAGTACTTGTAAACCAATAAGCCTATTTGCAATACTCTCTCTATATATATTGCTTGTATTAGTCAACATTAGGAATTAATTAAAATCTCTAAAAACAAATTGCAATGTATAACACATTATCAATATCAGTTTTCTATTTCAGTGTAAATCTCTTGCATTGATTGTTTTTATTAACAATAGGTGTCTTTAAATCTATAAAAATCTAGCTCTGAATCATAAAGATACAAGTGAATTTGATAGTAAAACCATGAATAGTTTAATTTTATATAACAGCTTAAATACTATATAGACCATATTACACTATACTCTAAGCCCCATCCACTTCACAATCTAGATTTATAAAAATAAAACTAAGAGAGAGATTCCAGAATCTAAGTAGATCTCTATTAGATCTAGAATTCTAGAAATATAATCTATACTATTAATTATATATACTCTAAGTCTAAGGCCTCCAACGTAAAAGTAGAATAGTAGGCCCTATATTCAGTATAGTGGCTATAACTATTAGATCTATATACTGTCTGTAACTATATCACTATATCTGTCTCTATCTAGATTGACTAGATATATCTATCTGCTATCTAGATCTGACTAGAGCTCTACACTACTAGTAACTAGTACTACTACTAGATCTACAGAAGATAACTAGATCTAGATTAGTCTAGATTGACTAGATCTAGATCGTACTGATCCTAGTAGACTAGATATAGATCTAGAATAGATCTACATTTTTTTTTTTAATATACGTAACTAGATCTAGTATTGATCTAGTAATAGATCTAGATCTAGTCATTTCTAGTAGATCTAGAATTCTAGATCATCATCTACTACTACTACTAGTCTAGGCCAGGCATGGCCCAGGCTAGATCTAGAATAGATCTATCATCTAGATCTAGTAGACGATAATGAATCATTATCATCTATGATAATCTGTAATGATACTGATAGATCTAGATGAAAATGAAATCAAATAGATCTAAACTATTATCTAGATTTACGGTCTAGTCTTAATTTTAATATTAAGTCTTTCTAGATTTAGATCTAGATAAAATAGATCTAGCATTTTCATTCTAATTCTAGATCTATCAAATCTATGTAGATCTATATCTAGATCTAGGTTTTTTGGTTTTTTTTACA